CACACACACACACACACACACACACACACACACAGACCTGTGAAACTCTCTTTCTCCTATTCCATTGATCAACCACCACATACTATGGTCTGAATATTTTATTAATTTATAGTGACGTTGGAATTAGAAACATTGCTTTGAATGAGAACATTTGGAAGTAGGAAATATATTTGAGTTTTTGTTGGAGAGCAAGCTGGACTTCCCATGGATCTGGTTTCATCGGCTTGTCAAGCACTGCAAACTAAAGGACCCTGGAAACTTCTTTCTGCAGTAGTTGTCCTGCTTGCTTGTTGTCTTGTTTGTTTGTCAAGGCAGGGTTTCTCCTTTAGCCCCGGTTTTCACGACAGGTATCAACAGTCACAGTGCCAGCAGGTTAAGGGCTAGCTGGAAAGAAGCAAAGAAGCATCGTGCACTCAGGGCTAGGAACCATCTTCTCCCAATGGGGTATTTGTCAGTTCCCCCAGAGGGCAACTTGATCTTTCTAGGAGAATGACCAAGGCAGGGACAAGTGTCCATGCAGTCAGGGGAACACAGGTAGGAGACTGGCAGCATAGCAAAGCCAGTGCTGCCTTGGTTTGGGAGAAAAAGGGACACCGAGTGTTCCTAGAGGGAACCATGTATGCACTGAGGGTGACATGGAAGGTTTTCAGATGAATCCCAGAACTGGAAGAGAACTTTCTGTTTCTCGAAGGCAGCTTTTGAACTTCAGGGGTGAGATCTAGTGTCTCCCTTCTTCTGCAAGTCTTTATCATGTTCCCCCGTGCATAGTGTGCAGCGCGCAGAGCACTTGTGTCCATGCATACAGTGTCAATGGTAGGCAACTGGGTGCCTCTAGGCACCCTGGGAATCCCCTAGGGTGTCCAGGTAGGTGTCCACGGTGCTGTTTGTTGAGGCAGAAGTCGTTCCTTGCCTAGAAGACTAGTCGCCTCTGGGCCTTGCGCCTAACCATTGGAGGCTTCTGACGACTCCCAGAGGCCTGTTCTTCGGGACTTGGAGGAGGAGAGGGAGGGAGAGGCTGCAGTGGAGACCCGGGCAGAGGGCACAGTATGCTGTCTTGGAGGCTCCAGACAGACCAGGGAGCATCTCTCCCTGCACTAGGAGGGCAGTTCTCACTCCAGGGATATGGCATTTGACAGGGAAACATGGGGCTGAACATGCCCCTGAAGGGCGAAAGGATTTCTGGGGCCATGAGACTTGGATCATTCATCAGCGGCATCACAAAGTCTTCCTGAGTGTCTTCATGTGGACCAGGGACATTTGCAAAGCCTTGGATGTATGGTAGAGATGCACTATTGAATCCCTGGTGTAGGGCACAGACGTGGTGGTCCTGGGGCATGTCAAGGACAGCGGCCTCCTGCATGGCTGCAGGCCAGAACACAGGCTGTCCATGTTGGGAAGAGGCTTGGAGGGCCTCGGGGACCAAGAGGATGGTGTGTCCGGGTAGCGACACTCGCATGACCGAGCCAGGGTCCGGCTCCAGCAGCAAGTGGATGCCTTCCAGGTGTAGTTTCACGGCACAGCCGGTGGGAAGGAACACCGTGGAGGTGAGCTCCTCGCTGGCAGGCCTGGCGGATTCTTCCAGGTCTGCCTGTACCAGCGACCACAGGACAGCAGGCTCCTGGAGGCACCGCCTCTTGGCAGGGTGGGCTTCTTCTGGCTGCGGGGCCCAGCGGGGCATCTGGTAGGCACTGGGGCTTTCTGGCGCCATCCCCAGCATATTGGTGCCAATG